CGCCCCCCTGCCCCAGCTGGCCAGTGCTTATCCCAGCCCCAATCCCTTCCTTGCCGCGGGGGTGTTGATCTGCCTCCCCCGTGCCTCTTCCTTCCCTGCCCCCCCACAAGGGACTTACCAGCTGCACACAGCTGTGTCAAGCGTCTTAAAGGCAGAACCTCAAAACGGGGTGTAAATTTATAAATGTCGTAAGTGCCATTCATCGTAACTCCGTCATAAGTCAAGGACTGCCTGTAGTGAATTGCCTCTTTGCTGAGCCATTAAGAAACAATATTTTTTTTACCGGAAGTCTTGCCCAGCTTTATCTTAACTATTAAATAGCTTTTTCTATTATGGAGACTTTTGAAGATGGATATTGCTCTTGAATGTATTTGGATATACACATTTGGTGTGGATCTCACGGAAAATTACCAATACTAATAAAACTCATGAAGAATGATTGTGTATAAAAACATGCAACCACTTGTGAGAGAGAGAGTGAAGATTTATCATGCAGCCTTCCTGTGCCCTTTGGACTTCCAATATTTGATAACTGGCAGTACAAGGTTTTGAATCCCAACTGCACACGGGGTGAGGGTGGGCTGTTGCTGCGGGCCTGGGCCAGGGGTGGTGCCAGGTCCTTCCCAGCGGGAGGAGCTGGGCCAGGGCTGTGGGCAGGCCAGGTGACAGCTGCACTGAGACAGGGTTCCAGGTGGGGGCCCAGAATTTGCCATAGCCAGCCCTCCCAGCACCACCGCCTATGCCCACCCTGAGCAGAGCCCTGGTCCAGCCTCTCCACCAGGAAGAGCTCAGCACCGCCCCTGGTCCCAGCCGGCAGCATGCAGCATTATTGGCCACATCTGCCAAAAAAAGCTCATTGCCGATAATGTCAATTTTCCTTTTATCGGTGCCAATACGATATGAACTGATGTATCGGTGCACCTCTAGTCCTAAGAAACCCACCTCACTCACAGGAGACTACTAGCACACCAGAGTGTTTTCAGGATTGTAGCTTAATGACTGTCTAATGTGTCCCTGAAGTCTGGCGGGGGTTGTTTTGGTTTTGTATGGTGTGGGGTTTTTTGTTGTTGCTGTTGTGTGTGTGCACGCTTGTTTTGCTAAATTCATTTTTGCACAGTTAATTTGCACTTTAGAATGAGAAGTTTTGATACTCCCTGCTGTCCTTGAGTTTCTCACAACTTACTGTTTTTTAGCTGCTGCTGTTCTAAGTGGATCCTTTTTTAACTCAGTAAAGGCTGAGACATTGACCTTCTAGTAAAGTAGATTAATAAATATACTTGCACACTGACCATAAGCATAACAGAATGAAGATTAGAGAGTCTGATTCTTTATTAGTGTGTTTACTTTTAATAAGCACTTTGGTTTTAAATATAATGTTTAAAACCACATGAGAGTTCTCATATATCCTTACTGTAGAAGTTCACAGCTGGCCAGCTACTTCTAACTGATAAGCTGTTTATAACACATCTGCATAACAAATGATTGGTTTGCTTTTAATAGTAAGTGGTTTTGAGGTCATTAAAGGGAACTGTTTCGTGTTTTATTTTCTTGCATGTCTTTCACTTTTTCTCCATTGTTACATTACTTTTGGAGGCAGTTGCATAGCCTGGTCTGTACCAGAGACCTGTGTACCCAGAGTAGCTATCCAGACCCTTTCTGAACATGGCTTAACTTGAAACCATTTTAACTGCATATCCACATTGAGTGCCTGTACACAAGGATGGAGGCTCCTTTGACATGCTATAATTACAGTGCCTCACAGCAGACTCAGTTATTCTGGAGTGTGGTAATTAAAACGCTCCAGCAGCCTCCTGTGTCTTGTGCATCTGAGCCCCTGCACTTAAAAATGGCAGCAGGGGGCACTTGAACTAAAGCTTGTTGAATGAA